GTTCATGGTAGATGGAAAAAGCCCTTTCCCCTTTCTTGACCAGCTTTCAGTGATGAAGGCTGGCCGTCTACCCAACTCAAATACACGAGATACTTGCTTACCCTCTGGGCAGGGTATTATATTGGAAGCAATAATTCTTTCTCCAAGCAGTTTTAAGCCATTAGAAGACCTACAAGTGATCCAGTTTCAATTCCGGAGCACAGCAGGTAAAAAAATAGGCTTTTATTAAATGGAAAAGTACAATTTTTGGAACCACTGCAGTTACCCTTAAAAGGCTGTTCTATTTCCTGCTTGTACAAAGACACCCAGAATCCAAATACGTCCATTCAGCTCCTTGTGAGAAGGCTCCAAAACTTCCATTCTTGTACATCTAACACACTGAAAATGTCTGCGGAGATTTCATAGGAGATTCGACGCTGGTATCAGTGAAGGTGCATCTCAGAATGATGTGAATACAGCGGACCCATTAAGCAGTTGAAGACGTTTCTTCCAGGATACGTCGAAAGGATGCTTAACCATGTACAAGGTGGTACCATATCTTTTCCTAATCTTACTCAGATCTCATCAAATGTAGAAATGTGTCTCCCTGGGGGGAAAGCATTTTGACAGTCGTATTGAAATATTTCACATACCATAAAACAAACTCTCTGAAGGGTACACCCCAGTTATTTTGAGTATTTACTGAGTTGTGTCACCATCACCATCATCCAGTATCAGAACGATTCCATCGCCCCAATAAGACCCTCCCTGCCTCAGCGGGAAATGCTAAGGTAGAAATAAAGTTATTTTTGTGTCTTCAGCTTGTCCTTTTCTTAGTCATATTTCTCAATCACAGCCCGATCAGAATGTCCAGTGTCCTTCAGCTCAGAGCATCTACACCTTAGAAAAGCATGTGCAATTCACTAATGATCACCCCTCTTCTGGAAAGACGTGTACCCCCAAAGAAGTAAGGTTTCCATCAGTAGTCCCTCTTCTCAATCATCTCCATTTTATTCTTTCGCAATGCCACCCTTCCAGCGGTTTGTGACAAAAAGCTCTGGAGTCAGCCTTGACCCTACAAGCCACTGGCAAATGCTGAAACCCTATCAGATGTACCTCTCCATGTGGATTTCCGAATGAACTCACTCTGGCTTTGCACACTTACCATCGTCTTTGACTGGGGACACTCCGTGGGTCTCCCCTCCCCTTTTGTCTCTTCTCAGCACAGCAGTCTGAGTGGTACTACTCAAATTAAGTCACCTCAGGACAGCTGTTTGTTCTCTCTCTCCAAGCCCCTATCTAACTCAGAGGACAGCCATGCTCTTGATAACGCCTGAGAAGACCCATCAAATCCACCTTCCCCCTTTCTCTCGATCTCCATCTTCCTCTACCCTCCCCAACTCCCCTGCCAAAACCTCAGGCTGCTCTGCTGTTGCAGGAATGTTGCAATCTCACTTCTGCCCCAGGACCTTTGCACCTGCCCTTTCCTGGAACTGGAAGGCTGTTCCTTTAGATTATTGCAATGCCGACACTCACTCCCTTTACACAAACACCTCGTTCTCAGCAAAACCTTCTTTAGCCATCTACCCTAAAACTGTAAGAAACCAAAAACCACCAGTGCCTGTGTTCTGTTCTTCATGTTTATCATCTCTGTTATTGCTCGCGGCTTTACGGGAGTCATTTACTTATTAATATGGTTTACTAGTTGCTGTCATCCCCGAAGTAGAATGAGTGTGTGTTCCACAGAGCAGACATTTTTGTCAGTTCAGTCACTTAATACCGCCAGTGCCTAAAAACACGGTAGGGCACTCAACGAATATTTGTTACATAAAAGAAGGCATGAGGCTTGACTAATAAGAGGAGAAGCTGAAGACACAAAAATAACTTTATGTCTACCTCAACATTCCCCAGTGAGGCAGGAAGGGTCTTACGGGGGGGGATCAAATCGTTCTTGAAACCGGATGGTGGTGACACAACTCAGTAAATACTCAAAAAACCGGAGTGGACACTTATGATGAGTGAGTTTTATGGTATGCGAATTTTATTTCAGTAAGATTGTTAAAATGCTTTCCCCCTTCTTTCCCCCCTCTGCCCCAGTAAGACACATTTCTACATTTGATGAGATTTGAGTAAGATTAGGAAAAATATGGTACCATCTTGTACATGGTTAAGCATCCTTTCGACGTATCCTGGAAGAAACGCCTTCAACAGTTTAGTGGATCTATCGTATTCCCATCATTCTGAGATGCACCGTCACTGATACCTAGAGTCTCCTATGCAGTCTCTGCAGACATTTTTTGGTGTGTAAGATGTGCAAGAATGAAAGTCTGCAGTGCCGAACGTATTTGTACAAGCAGGAAATAGGACAACCTTTTAACGGTGACTGCAATGTTTCCAAAAACGGTGCATTTTCATTCAACAAAAATCCATTTAAATTCGTGGGCTGCAGGTGTCATTCCAGGCTAGTAAGGGGCTCACACATTCTAGCAAGGATTTGACAGCCTGGCTTTGCCACTTCTAGCAGAATGGATGCCCTGTAGGCAGTGAGCAGTCATATGCCCGGCCCTGGGGACGGTCCGACGACCTCTGTCCAGGTCCCATCCAGCTCTTAAAGGTATGCAGTGTCTGTCTCCAGAGGCTGGGAATGGCTTCGGGGTGATGTCCGAATCCACAGCCTTGATCTGAGGGCACCAGACTGGCCCCTGCAGGCCACCGAACTGATGGCACCGTCGTGGGATCACAACGTGCTGTGGACCACAAACGTTGCGTTTGAACCAGGAAAAGTCAAGGTGACGAGGTCCCAAGCCTTTTCCTGACCATTGGCTCCAGGCTCACTGGTAATTCTTTCTTTCACTTGCCTCTCTAACTCACATGCAGACATAGTCTCAAGACCTGGTTTGATGTCTTTCTTTATAATTTCGCGTTCACGTTTGGTTGATGGGTCCTTTAAAAAACATAGTTACCCAATAAAAATTTAACAACAACAACAACAACAAAACGGCGTTTCAAGTTTGCTTAGTGTACTAGCCTCAGTTGAGGGGGGTGGGAAATGCACCTTTTCTATCTAAAAAGAGGTTTTGGGGGTGGCCGGTTAGCTCAGGTGGTTAGAGCATGGGCTCATAACACCAGGTTGCTGGTTCGATTCCCACATGGACCAGGGAGCCACGCCCTCCACAACTAGATTGAGGACAATGACTTAACTTGGAGCTGAAAGGTCCTGGAAATACACACTGTTCCCCAATAAAGTTTAAAAAAATCAATAAAAATTAAAAGGACTTGATTTTTTTCTTTTCCTTTTCTTTTTTTTGTTTTGTTTGTTAGGGTAAGGGTTAGGTACAGGGTTATGTCTAAGTTTAGGGCTTGGGTTAGGGACAGGGTTAGGGTTAGGGTTCAGGACAGGGTTAGAGTTAGGGTTAAGTTTACAGACAGGGTTAGGGTTAAGGTTAGGGTTAGGGTTAGGTTTAGGCTTAGACTTAGGGACAGGATACGGTTAGGATTCAGGACAGGGTTAGGGTTAGGCTTAGGGACAGACGTAGGGTTAGAGTTAGGGACAGGATTAGGGTTAGGGACAGAATTCAAAAGGACTTGATTTTTACAGGAAGAGCTCAAAATCCACAACATACTCTGTCAATGGTTCCAAATGTTAAATTATTTTGATTGCAAGTTTTCCACTTGAGACCTAGGATTACGCAGGGAAAGGAGTGGTGACAGTATATAGTGAGAAACCCACAGACTGGCTGAAACACATACATTTTCCCCATCATGGTAGAAAAAGGGCAATTTATAGCAGCCCATTCAAACCTTCCCGTAATGAAAGACATATGATGACGGCATATGGCTTACATTCTTCATTAGTATCACAGTGCGTTTTGTTTAAAATTAACCTAAACTTGCGTCCATGTAAGAGGATGGCTCCTGATTAGGAAGGAAACAACCGACTGATCTGTGTCTATGAAACAGGGTCTTGGTGAGCAGCCGAGTAGATGTGTAATTCATTCAGAAGGTTCCCAGGGATCCCTACACAAATGGAGAAATACACTCAGCGGTGTTATTAGCACCTAGTCCAATGCTCTTCAGCTATCACAGACTGAACTCACCACCAACGAAAAGTAGTGAAGGGCCAGCCGAGTGGCTCAGTTGGTTAAGAACGGGAACTCTAAGCAACAGGGTCTCTGGTTCGATTCCCACATGGGCCAGTGAGCTGCGCCCAAGCTGAGCTGCCAGCAGGTGGCAGGATGGCTCAGCTGGTGAGAGCACGTGCTCCTGATGACAAGGTTTCCGATTTGACTCCTGCATGGGATGGTGGACTATGCCCACCTGCAACTGAGATTGAGCACAGCACTTTGCGCTGAGCTGCCGATGGGTGGCCAGATGGCGACTAAACTTGGAACTGAGCTAGCTGCGCCTTCCATAACTAAGATTGAAGGACAACTTGGCTGTTCCCCTATCCCAATTCCCCAACACTGTTCCCCTTCCCCAATTCCCCAATAAAATTTTAAAAAAGAAATAAAAATAGTGAATTTCCACTGGGTTATTCTACAGAGATTTTAAAATAGCAATGAAGTTCAAATGGAACAAAATATTAAAGCAATTCTAGAGGGGTTTCAATGCTGGATGTGATGAAACAAAAAAGATTAATTCACACTCAGTTTCACAATTGTCTCAAGAAAACCTTCAGACTCTAGCCCTGACCGAACCTTTCTCTCCGCAAATGAACTGAATTGTGTTTTGATGCAGAATATGTGGAGGCAACGACTCAACAGAAGTTGATAATGGAAAACTGCCACTGCGAAGTTGACAAAACCCCGTTATATTATCTTCCACATCTCCGAAGGCATAAGCCCAGTGATGTCCTTCATCATAAATTCACGGGTACCTTCAAACACACCTGGTCCCATTCTCCAAAAACAGCAAAGACACCTGTGGACCAGCCATACATATCACCATGGAGACATGACAAATCTGCCTCCCCCGTCTGCCCGGGAGGAAGGCGAGTGTTCAGGCAGGAAAGCAGGACTGACCTTTAGAGGAACGGAAGTGTTTGCTTGGGGCCGTGAAGCCTCGGGTCCCATGCACGTTGACAGCTGCCACACGGAACTGGTACCATCTGCTGGGTCGTATGTCACTCAGCTGAACCCGCTCATCTGTGGTCTGAGGGGAGATGGCACAAGAGCACAGAGAGCCCCTTTTATTCTGACACGTCCATCGGGGGGGTGTGTTTACCATACACGAACTCATCGGCCAACACGACACAGCCTCGACCTCCCTCTATTCCCTCTGGATGGGTGCGTCTAACCGCCAGTGATGGGAACAGCTGTCCAGGATCCAGTAACTTGTCAGGGAACTTCCAGTCGTCTAATTCCAATCATAGATATTGCACCCCAAACAGTGAAATATCTCTGGAAGTCAAAACCTTAGGGGCCGGCCGAGTGGCGCGTTGGTTAAGAGTTGGCTTGGGACGCCAGCTCTGAGCAGCAGGGCCCTGGTTCGGATCCCACATGGGGGCCAGTGACACTGCACCCTCTACAGCTAAGATGGTGAACAACAGCTCGACCTGGAGCTGGGCTGCTGTGAGTTGCCAGCGACGGTGTAGGCTGCAGCTGAGCTGCAATGGGTTGACATAAGCAGCAATGGGCTGACATAAGCTGCCGTGAGTGGCTGGCAGCTGGCGTGAGCTGCCAAGAGCCACCATGAGCAGCCGTTCAGTGGCCAGTGACTGATCTGCCTCACCCGGGAAGAGCGCAATGATAATACCAACATGGGCCAGTGAAGCAACGTCCTCCACAAGTAGACTGAAGAACAAAAGGACAGCAACTTGTCTGTTCCCCTTCCCCAATAAAATCTTTAACAACAAAAAAACCCAAAACAAAAACAAACCCCCTTAGGCCATTTGCTTGGGCTGTGCTTAAATCTGGTGACTAAACACAGCATTCAAGGGATTTAAATCAATAAATTATAAATAAAAGGAAATACGTCTATGAGCTAATCATTACAGCACAACAAGAAAATAAAATCATCTTTAGATTATAGAGAGTGCCTCTACCACTTGCACGCCTGATATAATTTTGGAAGTAGGCAGGAGAACCCACACACTTACAGGATGCTAACACTTTCTAGAAGTCCATTGCAACCCAAGACTTTTTTGGTTTTTAATGTGAGTAAATCATGTAAGATTGGCAAGCACCCAGCTGGGTTCCTGAGGCGGTGAGGTGTGTTTAGTATATCTTTGTCCAACAAAACATCCAAAGTCTAAACCTGGACGCGGGGGAAGGTCCACAGGTTTTGCTGTCAACTGCTACAGTCCCCAAATATCACATAACTTTGGCAGTCTTCCTACTTCCCTCCTTCATCAAGCTAAGGGAACATCTACCTGCTTTCAACAACATGCCTTCGGCGATCTGAAGGGCTTTGTCTTGAATCACCAGGAAAAAATGCCCCCAATCTTTGCCTCATTTACGGCTAGGGACGACCTCAACTTGAGCTCCGTGGATAAAACTGGGGAAGGGGAACTGCAGCCTCAGATTATAATAATTTATTGGAAAGGACTGTCGCATTGTCTCATATTGAAACCAAGCTGAGCATTTCCAAGATCAAAGGATGACTGTGAACTCAAACGTGGCTTTCTGCCTCGTTTGGCAGAATTTGAGACAACACTTTCACCAACTTCATCACTGAGAGTTTTAGCCTTGAATTCAGAAAACTAAAGTCAGCATAATATCCACAGCATTTAGCAGACCAAAAAAAAAAAAAAAGAGGGGCGTATTACATGTGCTAACTAGCAAAAATGCTAATGAAAATAATTCAAGATCTTTCCTCGTTCCAAAAAATGAAGAGATGATCTTATCAGTTACTTTCATAAATCTTAAAATAGTTTTGAGAATTTACAAATGATACTGTACCTTTGTTTAAGGGAGCATATAAAGTAAACCAAATAAAATTTTAGGCTGTTTTCTGAATGGGTCTATATTTTATTAAAGCAATATATATATTGGGTTGTCGGAAAAGTCATGACGTATCTTTGCAACGAAAAACATAGAAAAAATATGTCATGACTTTTCAGAAAACCCAATAGATATATTTAAATAGGTATAGAATAGAATTGCTAAATTTATTTAACCAGTTTTTTCCCCCTAATTCAAGATGTTTCTTTTACACCAAACTTCTCATTTATTTTGCAGTTTTTGAATTATTTTAGTATTTGACCTCTTTGGGAAGGTACTTTTGACAAAAGAACCAACTGCGTCTCCCAAACACCTGAATACTAAAATGTATTTTACATGTACTGAAAAAATACTGGGAATCTTATCCTTGGAGAAAAGTGATCAGATCGCCTCAAGGTGAGAACGCCTGCCTGTAGACAGACAGACATGCAGAGAAGGCATTTTAGTGGTTAAAAAGCATGGAGCAGTTTCATGTGGAGAACTGATTCTTTTTCTATCTCCGCGTACTGTTCTTTGCAGCTGGTAGTCCATTTAACAGCTCTTAAAAAGAAAGAAAATATTTTGCTTTTCTCCTCCACGAGACAGAAGACGAAGAAGAGCTGCTAAGATCAACGCTGGGAGCGTTGCCATCCAGGTGGTGTATCAGCTTGTACGTCGACCAGGACAAAAAAGAAAGCACTTAGAAAGATTTATGAGCTGTTGGCTGCTTTCCACTAAGAAGTTTGGTGATACGCATCTTACCCCGTGCTACTAAAGGTCTTTTGTGGAATACAGGCTTACGTTTACGAGAAACAGAAGAGAACTCCCTTCCGCGATCAAATATCACATTCACTCGTCCTAACTGGGATGCATTTCCCTTGCTCTAGTTGGTTTTAAGCTTATCTCACGGAAATGTGGTTCTTGGAGGAAATAAAAGGGAACACTCAGATTAGAAAATTATCTCCCACATGTATTTTGAGCAAATTAGGCCAGTAGTCAAGGTCCGACATGTATTGGGTTATATCCACAGGGGTCATCCTGTTTTCAGCAGATACACACGATAGGTTCACATTTACGTTGTTTTGGTAGTCAGGCTATTTTGACTAAAGCATGGCAGGTTAATTTCGTATGTGTAGGTGGGTAGTAGGTATCTCCTCAAGGGGGAAAAGCAACATCTCTGAAGTACTAACCTGGGCTACCGTCTGCCAATGCGTGGCGTCGTCTTCACTAGGGTGGATTCCATAATTCCATCGTCTCTGTACCACGTAGATCACAGGCTCAATTGAAATATTGAATTTCGAGGACCACTTAATCTCCAGCTGTCCGGACGGTAGCTCTGTGAATCGTAACTCTTTCCTGGGCTTCAGAGGCACACCTGAAACAGGACCAACACCAATTAAAGCAATCTGCATGGGACTCGAACAGAGGGGAAAAGCTGACCAAGAAAATCAGTAGACAAGACAGAGCAATTCCGATGAGAACCGACATTTGACTTCCTTTCATACAAGTGGCTTCTCCGTATCAAGACTTCACATTTGAAATCTTCTAAGTACTGCCCATCACATTTCAAGAGTCTTAGCCCCTTTATTTTAAGAGGGTCTACATTGCTTCCTGATTCTGAATGAGTTCTGCCCCCGACCCCACTCCAGAAATCTCAACATCAATTTTTTTGTAATGTGCATGCTTCCCAATAAATGCTACCATTTGCACCACCGGATTCCATGTTAACCAGGGACACACAAGGTGATGCTCATCAAGAGTTTGAAGTCACTTTCCCATGTACCTGGTGCCGTTTTTATGATATGTTCTAAGGTCATTACAACATGGGTCCCAAGACTGCTGTCCTTTCTATCTCGGGGAGTTTTCCTCTCAAGGAAAACATAAAGCGCAATCCTTTTATAGGGCCACATCTCCCAAGAATGACTTGCAAAGGGTGAGTCTTGCAGACTCTGCACATCACCGCGGGAGCAGCATTCTCCTCTGGACTTACGGTTTAAAACTGGAAAATGATGAATTTACAACGTTTGCATTTGGCTCGAGTGAGTGTGTCACTGCAACGGTGACTCACAGGTGTCTCATTGTAAAGTAATCATTCTGATTGCTTTAACCCCATCCCGTGCATGCAAGTTGTCTGGTGATGAAAGATTAAAGAACCACGGTTCAAAATTGTAGCCACTGTGGAAAAGGAATTTCAAACAAATTTGTGACACTCCCAGGCTATGGAAAACTAACTGAATTGGGTAGAGTCTGTGGCACCATGACGTTCAAGGCCATGACATCAACACCAAGTATTCCAGTTGCCATTAAATATCATCTTCTGTTGAGAAAGCGCATTTACCTCAAGTGTTGACAACTCATTTGAAAAAGCCCAGAATGCTTGATTTCTTAAGTGTCAATAGAGAGGAAGCTGGAAAATGTGCAAATACAAACAATAAGTCAGAGCTGATGCACATTCCTGACGTGGCTGAATTTCAACTCTGATTTTGACCTTAACTCAAGTCAAGTCTTACTTTGGGAAATTTAAAGGTCATTAAACATGTAGATGCATGGAATTGGCTCATTTAAAAAATGGCATATTTATATCTGCTCCAAGGGTCACTGAATTTTTTAAAAAATTGTTTTCTTAGAAAAACACATTCTCCATACCTTAGCGTTTTCCATTTGGAGCGGCTGATGGGTGATATTTACATGATACCCTTTACTTTACCAAAACGTTGTGTCATGTGATGCTGCCTGTGCCTTTGAGAAGTGGGTGAAGGGGTATGTATGTTCAGCCTGAACATCAGTGAAAGAGTCGGAGGAAGTAAGTTGCCTGATGTCAGGTTTCTCTCTGAATCCTCTGCTGGCTTCCACCTTTTGAATTAGGAAAAGCCACTTAGAAAGGAACAGAGAAGAGGTGGCTTTGAGAGATCCACAGACCCCTTGGGCATTCTGATACTGTATCAGTCCTTGGCGTCCCGGTTGGCCTGGGTGGCACATCTCTCAGTCCATCTTGGCTCCAGTCCTGCCGCTACGTAAGTGCTTTTCAAGTTTGTGTCATAAAGTTGCCTTCCATCTGGGGTTCCGCTGACTTCCATGACTGGAATCTTCATTAAGCAAGTGACCCTCAAATATATGCCCAGTTGTTCTGTGAGACCCACGCCCCTCATCCACCTGCCTGCTGATGGAAGGTCTCCACACAAGCCCCGTGTCAGGTGCCTCTCCCCAAAATACGTCCCCTCCTCTGTGAACATCTATCTTCATGCCAACTCTATGCGTTTGGATAGTTAAGGGGTCTTGGAGTCTTTGTGACTTGTGTTTGTAGCTATGAACATCCTGTTCTGTTAGTGCAGACTATAATTCCAAGGATCCCCAAATCATTCTGTCTCCATGGTGACCACCCGACCGTCCATCTTCCCACGTCCTGTCTGGACCTTTACAATAACCTCCCGTCCCATTGCCCTGCTGTCAATCTCTTTTTTCCAATTCCCTCATCACAATGGTTGGTGGTTATTTTCCTCAGGCAGAGGCGAGTCGTTCACCTTGTGGGACTCGTCAACTGCATCCCATTTTCTGTAAAGGCAAACGTATCCGCATCTCAGTCAGGGCACCTGCCTTCATGACCGACTGCCACTCACCTTTCCACGGCTCTCCTCTTATATTTTACATAGTTGTCACGCAGCCTCCCTTTACACTCAGCTTTTCTACAAACACGCTGCCAGGCACTTCGTCCTGCCATGGCCGACCCGTGTTATTTGTTTCACTGAAATGTCTTGCCTTCCATGTTCTGACGATAGACCCTGAACACTTCCAGGCTTAGTCCAAACGCCACTCCTCTGAGCCCCTTTCCCTTACCCCTCCGGGATGGACATAAAGGCTCCCCCTCCTTTGCCCCCTCTCCAACGTTCAGCCTGTGACTGTCAACATGTGCGTTTAACCGCCTCGTACGTCAGCCAGCTCATTTAAGGATCCTGTGTTCCCCAGTAGGCGGCAGCCCCCAGAGGACGAGAAATGTGTTTCCTTCATCCGCAAACCTCATGGTGCCCCAGGAGAGGACATCCTGCAATGGCAAGACTTTGACAAAATGTTTGCTGAAGAAATAGCCAAATCCACTTTTCTATTCTGCACCCAAGAATACACCTGGGGAAATAAGCAGATACAGGAACCTTTATGCAAATCTTTGCAGCAATGGCCAACCCTCCTCTTCTACAGAGTCACTTAGGGAAGGGGAAGCATTGTCACAGAGAGTCTGTGATGCCTTCCCCATCATAAGTTCTTCCAAGAAACTCACATCTCAAGAAAGAAAAAAGGAAAAAAGAAACGCACATCTCTCTTTCCCATCAAAGTCATATTACTCGCACATGCACTCGCTCTCACTTTTTAAGAGGTAAACGCTGAATAATAAATAAATAAATATTAGTAAGTTTACAAGGTGGAATAGTTCTATTGCATTGATAGTAGACTTTCCCAGTTTATAAACAAAAGAGCAATTTCTGACAAATCCTGCTAGGATGAAAACCCCAAAGGTAAATGATGATTGGTCTTAATCCAGAAGTATCTCTCTACTCTTTTTAGGTTGAAAAAAAAATGTGTTCATTGTGATACAAAACCAATCTCAACAAAATGATTGTTTTGTATCGTTATTCTTACATTGAAGGAGGGCAGGCAGATACTATACAAATGTTTCTATCGAGGGGGTTTACAGATACAGGGAGAGAGGGAGCCTCTGAGAACATCTCAAGGTCCTCTTGATTCCTTGGGGTAAAAAGAGGACTGGTTAGTTCTCTAACGTCATAGAGCACGTTTCCTGAGACGTCCAGATCTTTCTCCTTGGCTGTCCCGCATGTAATCCTGTAGCGTAAACGCAGCTACGCTAGCCCCTCATCAGACGCAAGCCCACACATCCGAGTCCCCATGCTACAGGGTTTTCACATTGAATATCATCCAGCTACCAAGGGCCTTAACCGACCGTAACTGTCAGTTCAAATTTCTTCATTTAAAGATCTCTTTAATTATCATGTACAATAATCTTGCGATTTGCATGCTACGAAATGGTCCATCTGCTTTGCGTTAGGGTCAGCTGGCTCCCTTGATTGGAAGGAACTGCAGCACACGGCTGTAATTGTGTGCAGCTGGGGCTACCCCCAACCCACCCCCAGACAGACCGCCAGCCCCCACTGTCCATCTTCCGTGCAGTCCTCACGAGCTCAATCAGCCTCCTGATGACATAACCAGATGTGTAAGACGGACCTCCCCTCAGTGTGGTTTTCATTATGTAAATGACCAGAACTGTACTTTTCGATTACCTCTGAACAAATTAGTCACCTGAAATCTAAACTATTCCGTTAAAAAATTCAAAAATGCTCTTGAATAACATCCCGTAATCTGCAACAATACAGATGCAACTTTTCCTTTAAAGGGTAACATGGATTCTGGTGAAATCAGAGACACAGAAAGCCAATGCTTTCAAAAATACTGAAAATATACTAATAGGAACATCAAGATGGTATACAACTCGCAACTGCAAATCACCACAAGACTTGGTTATTCATGTAAAATATTTGTCGTGGGTCTGAATGTTATGAAAACGTAGCAAGATGTCGTGTCCTACTGACTCCATAATGAACCACTGCCTAATATGTCTCATAAACATAACTAGTACTCAAGGAATTTGGGTTTCCATCGCATCAACGCATCGTGTTAAAATGTTTAACATTAACATGAAAAGTGGTATGATTCCATCTCTGAAGGCCTGAAGTTTACATATTTCAAATATTAAGACACCCATGGACATATTAAATCCACTCCATCACAGATCTTTTTGAAAAGAAATGCATTTGATGAGTGATTAATTCTTGGTTTGTGCGTGTCAAAGGGAAATTATAGATCATGGAAAGCCACAGGTTAGCCTGCACCTGTACGTTTGGGAAACAATTTCAACTTTTCTCCTTCTCTACCCAAACCAAGTGCCACCGCTGGGAGTCAGGAAAGGTGGCAGTTTGGGCGGTGAAATAATAAATCATATCATCTTCTGAAGAGAGGAGCGTCCCAAATAAGCTGGAAATCAGACTTAACATAGAAAAAAGGATCCAAGGGGAGCAACTGTTTATGGTTTACCTGTGGGAGGTCAGCCCTTTTAACTTTCCACGCTATTACGGTTTGCGTTTCAGAGAACTAGCCCCTCTGGGTGTCACTTACCCCAGCTAACATTATCACATCTTCTGTCGCTGCGAATAATTTTCTTTATTTGAAGGGTGAAGGAAAAGCCGTCTGTGGGTCTCTTGACTGCTTCCAACTCTGACACTGGTCTGTAAAGTTCACTTAATGGGAGGCATCAGCTGAGGACGATTCTTATCGCATAAGCCGAATTAAGTGCTCAAATTTAATGGAGCATTT